CAAATGCCCCTCTGTCCCTTAATACTTTATATGTATTTCCTGAAAACATGGTACAATGATCAAACTTATTAACATTAATACAATACCATGATCTAATTGTCTAAATTATGTAATCTGCATGTTTGCTTACATTTCACCAATTGTCCTAATGATATCCTTTTAGCAAAAGAGAAAATATTTCTGGTTTGGGATCCAATCCAGGAATGTGCCTTATATGTTGTCTTCTTTAATCTGGAGTAGCTCCTCAGTCTTGCTTTTTCTTTATGGATTTGACATTTATAAAGAGTGCGGGCCAGTTATGTCTTGTAGCACACCCCAGAATCTGAGTGTGTCTGATGTGTCTTCATAGAATGAGGCTCTGCAGTTCGATGGGAACACCACGAAAGCAATGTGCTCTTCTCAGTGCGTCATGTTAGGCATATGTAGGAAACTCTTTTTTGTTTTGGTTTGGTTTTTGGTTTTGTATTTTGAAGCAGGGTTTTGCTATGTAGTTCAGGCTGGCCTTGAACTCTCTGTAGTCCAGACTGGCTTGATCTCTCGAAATCCTCCTGCCTCAGCCTCCCAAGTGCTGAGATTACAAGGGTGCACTGCGCACTGCCATGCCTAGCTCAGGAATTATTACTTTCAAGGAAATTTGAATTTTTAAATAAGTCCTGTGATATTAGAAGTTATTTTCTTTGTTTTCTTATCAAATACTCTTCTGATAATGAAAGTTCATAAGATCTTTAAAGAAATAATAATCACTATAGACAAGTTGACAAATGTATAAAGTTATAAAGAAAAATAAAACTATTAATGTTGTTTTAAAATTTTGTTTGTTTTGAGACGGAGTCTTGCCATGTAGTCCAGGCTCGCCTCAAAATCCCTATGTAACCCAGGCTGGCCTTGAACTAGTGGCAGTCCTCCTTCCTCAGCCTCCCAAGTGCTGGGATTTCAGGTGAGTGCCACCATGCCTGACAAAACTACCAGTCTTGCTTGCCATCTTGATTATTCTTAATACTATGGCTCGTTTTCTTCCTTTTTTTTTATTGTGTTGATCTGCTTTAACCAGATCATAATGCATATTACACTGAGTATTTTATATTCTTTCTTTTCCTGTTGATATGGCATAAACTTTTTTCCATGTCATTAACAGTATTTAATCAGCATTTTTTTTTTTTGGTACCAGGGATCAAACTCAGGACCTCATGCTTGTAAGGCAGGCGGCAGCACCCCTGAGCTAAATCCCCGGCCCTTGGTCAGCATTTTTAATGGCTTTATTATGATCTCTTTTTTAGATGTCTCATAATGTACCATTCTCTTAATGTTGGACCTTTGCTCAGTTCCCAGTTTTTTTATTCTATCAGTAATACCTGGTGAGCAGCTTTTGATACCCGATGGCATCTCCTAGATGGAGTCCTAGGAGTTGAATTGCAGTTAGACCCATACAGCAGTGGTTTCAGGTGGATGTCATGTGCCCAAATCCAAACCTTTCTGTACTTTGGTACAGGGTTGGAGGGATCCATGTAGTGTGAAAACAAACTGAGGTGCAGGGAAGCTGTGACATAGTGATAAATCCCTACTGTCGTTCCTATCCTTTGCTTGATGACTACCTTTGAGAGCATTTTTCAGCCCATTTTCTCCAGACTTGAATGTAATAAATCAAAGTTCAGTTTTCGTTTATTTGATTGAAAAATGGTATTAAATTTCTAAAATGGTCTTAAATTTCTTTGATATATTTGTTGAACAGAATTGTAAACTGTTGGTAATCTTGAAAGATTATCTAAACTCAGCCTTCAGTTTGTACTAGCAGATAACAAACGCACAAAGGGTCAGCAGTGTGAATTCTGGTCACAGCCGGCTGCCCTGGAGTCTCACACCACCCAGGCTGGACATGTTTTCCTTTAGAAGCAGAGCCCAATTGGCACTAGGCTTAACTCCCAGATTCTGAGCCCCAGATATCAGCTGTACCACATGGACCATTTAATACCTGTAACTATTGTTGTTAATGCTTTGGAGGCCCAGTGGCCCTGTGGCATTTGGACTTGAGCAAGGCAGCACATCATGCTGAAGTGGTAGAGGAAGGCTGTTCAGAGACCAGAGTCCCACCCTGACCTCAAGCACATGCCCCAGTGACCCACAACCTCCCACTAGGTCCCAATCCTTAGATTTCACCACCTCCCAATAGTGCCATGGGCTGGGGACCAAGTTTATAATACATGGGCCTTTGAGAGACCTCCAAATCCAAATTGTAGCAGTAGGATTGTTGCAAGACAGTTATGGGTACACGAAACAAAATGCTTGGCTCAAATGCTATTTTCCTTCCTTTTGCCTGTGAGTTTGTCACAAATCTTGCTAAATGTACAGGATTTCTGTCTTTACCAATCTTTATAAAAAGAAGATACACTTTATAATACAATGATTATAAAGAACTGATTGTAAGAACTGGGCATGGTGGTGCATGTCTGTAATCTTAGCATTCAGGAGGCTGAAGCAGGAGAATCACCATGAGTTTGAGGTCAGCCTGCTACATAATAAGTTCAAGACCAGCCTGAACTACATAGTGAGACCCTGTCTCAAAAAAAAAGTGATTATGAATGTATTTAACTGGGGGAGAAAGGCTGTGTAATAAAGAAAAATGGTTTCAAGGATGAAAATAT